TCCAATTTTAATCCTTAACATGTACGAAGTCAGTTTTTCCAGCACCATTAATTAAAGAGGCTATGTTTCTTTCAGTGAATACGTTTGGTTCCTTTGTCAAACATAAGGTTGCTGAATATGTCTGGAGTTGTTTCTGCATCTCCTAGTCTATTGCATTGATTTTTAATTCTGTTTTTCTTTTTTCCAGTACCTTGCTGTCTTTATCCCAGTAGCTTTATAGTATAATTTCAAGTCAGGGATCGTGATGCCCTCTGCCTTGTCTTTTTTGCCCAATATTGCCTTTGCTATTCTAGGTCTCTTCTGGTTCCAAATGAATTTTAGGATTGTTTTCTCTAATTCTGTGAGATAGGTGATTGGAGTTTTGATTGGAATAGCATTCAGTCTGTATAACAGTTTTGGGAATATGGCCATTTTCATTATACTGGTTCTTCTTACCCATGATCAAAGAGTATCATTCCATTTTCTGATATTCACTTCAATCTCCTTATTCAGAGTACTGTAGTTTTCAATGTACAGGTCTTTTATATTGTTTGTTAGATTAATTCCTAGATATTCATTATTTTGGACGCTATTGTGAAAGGTGTTGTCTCCTTAATTTCTGTCTCAGTGAGTTTTTATTTCTGTATATGAAGACTATTGATTTCAGAGTGTTAACCTTGTATCCAGCTACACTACTAGATTAACTTATTCAATCTAGAAGTTTTTTGGTGTGGAGGAACTGGGGAGATAGCTCAGTGGTCTAAGTGCCTGCCTGGCAACACAAGGACCTGGGTTTGATCCCCAGTACTGCATCCGTGCTGGCCACAGAACCCAGGTGCCCTGTGCCAGCCCTGAAACCTGGCATGGTGGTGCATGTCTGTAATACCAGTGCTGGGGAGGCTTAGACAAAAGGATCACTATGAATTCAAGCAGCATAGTGAGACCCTGATTCAAATAAAGAAATTAATTAAAAAATAAATCTAGCAGTTTTTTAGTGGTTTTTGGGGGGGTTCTATGTAGAGTATCATGTTGTCTTCAGAGAGTGATGATTTCACATCTTCCCTTACTGTCATTGTTCCTTTTATTTCTTTCTCTTCTCTAATTGCTCTGGATAAAGTTTCCAGGACTATGTTGAATAGGAGTGGAAACAGTGGACAGCTTTGTCTTGTTCTTGATTTTAGAGTGAAAGCTTTCAGTTTTTGTTCATTTAGTAGGATGTTTGCTGTTGATTTGCCATAGATGGCATTTATCAGACTGAGGTAAATACCTTGTCTTCCAATTTTTTTGTAGGGTTTTAATCATGCATGGGTGCTGGACTTTTTCAAAAGCTTTTTCTGCATCTATTAAGATGATCATATGATTCTTGTCCTTGGCTCTATAAATATGGTGTATTATGTTTATTGGTTTGCATATGTTGAACCATCCCTGCATCTTTGGTATGAATGTCAGTTGGTCATGGTGGATAATCCTTTTTTTTTTTTTTTTTTTTTTACCAGGGATTGAAGTCAGGCCCTTGCTTTTGGCAGGGAAGCGTTTATTCTACTGAGCCATCTCCCTGGCCCCAATGGTGTATAATCCTGATGATTTGCTGCATTCTGTTTACCAGTATCTTATTGAAGATTTTTGCATCTACGCTCATTCAGGAGATTGGCTTGTAGTTCTTTTTTGGTTGAATCCATCTCTGATTTTGGTATGAGGGTAATGCTTGCCTTCAGGAATGAATTTCTCCCAGGGAGTATTGCTTCCCTTTCAATTTCATTAAAGAGTTTGAACAGTATTAGTGTTAAGTCTTCTCTAAATTTCTTGTAGAATTCAGCAATGAATCTGCCAGGGCCTGAGCTTTTCTTTGTTGATAGTTTTTTTTTTTTTTTTTTAATTATGGAATGCTTCATGAATTTGTGTGTCATCTTTGTGCAGGGGCCATGCTAATCTCCTCTGTATTGTTCCAGTGTTAGTGTATGTGGTGCCAAAGCAAGTGCTGTTGGTAGGTTTTTAATTACATTTTCAATTTCATTGCTTGATATTGTTTTATTTAGGATTTTTATATCTTCTTGGTTCAGATTTGGTAATTTATCTGTATCTCGGAATCTGACTATTTCTTCTTCATTTTCCATATTATAAGAAAACAAATTTTCAAAGTAGATCTTCTGTATTTCTGCAGGGTCCATTGTGATTTCACCCTTTTCATTCCTAATTGCATGGATTTGAGTCTTTTCTTTCCTTTTTTTTTTTTTTTTTGGCGGAACCGGGGATTAGAACTCAGATCTTGCGTTTGCCGGTCAAGCGCTTATCCTACTGAGCCATCTCTCCGGCCCCTTTTCTTTCCTTTTTAAATAAGATTGGATAAGAGTTTGTTGATTTTATTTAATCTTTCAAGGAGCCAACTCTTCAATTTATTTATTTATTGTTTTAGTCTCCAGTGTGTTAATTTTTTCTCTGATCTTTATAATTTCTTCCCTTGTATGAGCTTTTGGCTTAGCCTGCTCTTTTCTTTTCCTAGAAGTGTGAGGTTCAACTTTAAGTTGTTTATGTGTGCTTGCTCACTTTTATTGCTATGGGTATTCATTGCTATAAATTTCCCTCTTAAAGTTGCTTTCTGTGTCTCATAAGTTCCAGAGAGTTGCATTGTCATTATAATTTAATTGCAGAAACTGTATAAATTTGTCTTTAACTGGTTGCTCAGGAGGGTGCTGTTTAATTTCCATGTGTTTATGAAGCTCTAGTGGTTTCTTTTACCATTGATTTCCAATTTTATTGCACTCTGATCTGATAATGTGCATGGGATAATTTTGGTCCCTTTACATTTACTTAAGCATGTTTTGTTGTTTAGCATATGGCCTATTTTGGAGAACATCCCATGTGTAGCTGAGAAGAATGTCTATTCTGATGTTGTAGGGTAGAACACTCTGTAGACATCAACTATGTCCATTTGTTCAAAAGTTTAGTTCAGTTCTTTTATTTCATTGTTAATTTTTTGAGGGTCTGGTTGATCTGTCTATTTGTGACAGTGGGGTATTGAAATCTAACAATACAATTGCAGTAGTGCTTATTTGATTTTTTCATGCCCATTAGTATTTGTTTTCTATAGGTGAGTGCGCAGCTATTTGTTACATATATTTATGATTGTTACCTCTTTCTCTTGGATTGTTCCCTTTACAAGGATGTAGTGACCTCCTTTATCTCTCTTAAACAGTCTTGGCTTGAAATTTACTTGGTCTGAAGATAGAATAGCTACCCCTGCTTTTTTTCTGAGTTCCTGTCACATGGAGTATTGTTTTCTATCCTTTGACTTTTAGTGTACAAATTTATTTTTTAGTTAAATGTGTTTCTTGTATACAGCATATTGTTGGATGTTCCTTTTTGTCTTTTTGAACTAGGGTCTTTGCTATGCAGTTCAGGCTGGCCTTGAGCTCATTTTGTAACACAGTCTGGTCAGTAACTCCCAGCTATCCTCCTGCCTCAGCATCCCAAGTGCTGGGATTACAGGCATGTGGCAGCACCTCTGGCCTGGATCGTGTTTCTTAATCCATTCTGCCAGTTTCTGTCTTTTGACTAGTGAATTGGGCCACTGACACTGATGGCTACAACTGATTTTTTTTTTTTTTTTTTCCAGAACCGGGGATTGAACTCAGGCCCTTGCACTTGCCAGGGAAGCACTTATTCCACTGAGCCACCTCCCCGGTCCTAACTGATATGTATTGACTTATCCTTGTCATGTTATTTTCCTGTCGTTGCCTCCCCCTCTCCCCCCCCCTTCCTCTGTTTACTTGTTTGCCTTACTTGCTGAGTTCCTTCTGCTGGTGTTTATAGGGTTGTAGTCCTATTTTTCTCTTTTTATAATGTCATTAAAAATATTTTGGAGTGCTGGTTTGGTGGTCATAAATTTCCTCATCTGTTTTTTGTCATGGAAGTATCTTATTTGTCCATCAGTTTTAAAAGATAGTTTTGCAAGGCACATCAATCTGGGTTGAAGTTTGTTTTTCTTTAGAGCCTAAAATACTTCACTCCAAACTCTGCTTGACTTGAGGGCTTATACTGAGAAATCAGCTGTGATTCTGAGGGGATTTGTTTTATGGATAGATGATTTGTTTCTTTTCTCTAATAGGTTTTAAAACTTTATTTTTGTGTTGAATTTCTGTAATCTTGACCATGATATACCTGGCTGTAGATTTGTTTTTGGTCAGGGCCAGTTTGAATTCTATATCCCTCACTTACCAGTATGTCAAATTCTTTTTCTCTACTAGAGAAGTTTTCTGTCAAGACACTGTGAGCAGATTTTTGTATCACTTATGCTATCTCCTGCTTTTTTTAATAGACTCCAATTAATCTTAAGTTATACTCTTTCCATAATCTATTAGCTGTTGTATTGATTGCTTGTGCTCTCTTGCTATTTTTAGTGTTTGTTTGTTTTTTCTTTGTATTGGGAATCACATTTAGGACCTTGCATTTGCCAGGCAGGCACTGTGCACTGAGATATAGCCCAGCCCTCTCTTGCTATTTTTAGGAAATCTTTCTTTTTGTGATCACTAGCTATAAGCCTGTCTTGTATATTTGAGATCCTATAGAGTTTTTTTTAAAAGGTGAAATACGGTTCTACTGTTCAATTTCCAAATCCTGATAACATCCAGGTGATTTTATTGGGTGGTTCAGCCATTAAAAGACAAATACCAGGGCTGGGGAGATGGCTCAGTGGAATAAGCACTTCCCTG